AGGGGGGGGGGTTGCTAGCAAAATGTATATGACATGCCCCAGTTGGCAGGAGGGAACGAGAGAAAGATAGAGTGGGAAATAGGTGGGGACAAAGAAAGACAGAGACAAACAAAGAAAAAGAGAAGGCGAGCGATACACAGAGGAAAGAGAGAGAGCATAGGGAAATGCTAGCAAAATGTATATGACATGCCCCAGTTGGCAGGAGGGAACGAGAGAAAGATAGAGTGGGAAATAGGTGCGGACAAAGAAAGACAGAAACAAACAAAGAAAAATAGAAGGCGAGCGATACACAGAGGAGAGAGAAAGAAAGAGAGAGAGAGAGAGGGGACTGCTCGATTGAAATTATGACATTGTAACTTGTTCTTTTCTTCAAATTGTGATTCCTCCATCCAACTCCAAAACGGAGGAAAAACGATCGTTCATCGAAAAGACATCCGCAATCTTCATTTAGATCTAGGCTAGCCGCGAAACTAGATCAAAGATTTAAGTCTGTCTGTCTAGATCTAGATCTAGAATCTAGATCTAGACCATAGATCTAGATTCTAGAAGAACCTAGGTCTACCCTGAGCCAAGAGGGCGCTGAAACTCTCCGAAATCACAAAAGAGTTCCTTTACTGGGTCTGTATACTTTGTGACTGTTCCCGGTTACCGGGTCTGTATACACTCCCTTCGAAATATCTTATTGTTCTTATATTTAATTTATTATAGAGATAGACATTCTCTGGACCAATCGGGGGGGGGGTTCCATATAATTTGATATATTTTAATGTTAGAATTGAAATTTTCTTGAAAATAATTGATTTGCGACAGTGTTGCTTTATGTGTGATCTGCAGCAAACAGTACTGCTTAACTGCCGAAGCAGTACTGAATTTTAGTAGACCAATGTATGTAGATCCCTAATTTAATAACAATAGATGTTAAATTATAGGCTAGCAATGCACTTCAACAACCCTACATTTTCATTCGCTCAAACCAAGTAAAATGAGTGATGAAAATAATTTTAAAGTATGGAATGGTACAAGACTAGCTGCACAAACCACTTTGAGATAAAAATTCAAAGCATTCGGCTTACTGGCCACTTAAAAGCTTGTGGTTCGACAGCAAACACTAAACTGTAAAATAGAATAAAATAAAAAAGAGAATGTTATTTTTTTACTTTTTTACTTCCTTTTTTTTTGGGGGGGGGGGGGTAGGATTTTTTTTACTGTAGGCCTAGAATCTAGATCTATACAAGATAACAGTGTACCCAATCAAAATTAGGTAAGGTCTCTATACTCTATACCTTTCAAAATTGAGACTCTTTGTAGTTCGTAACCACATCCTTTGATTTTAACAATAAAGTTTTCACTGATGATTGACCCCAAAACATGGAGTTTTGAGGACAAGTCGCTATGCTCTTGCAAGTTCACACAGATTGCTTACAAATGTGCAAAAGTTTATTTTTGTACTTCTTTCAAGAGTTTTATAATACCATCCTCCCAGAGCTCTTAAAAATCAGCTACTGAGAAAATAATGTCTTAAAACCTCAAAACAAAATTACAGGACAGACAGCAAGAGTGATGTTTTTAAAAAAAAATAATAATGACAAAAATATTTCGTTCTAGCGCACACATCATACACTTTGTCAAGTGATCTTTTCACTGTGATGTCTCTTTGAATGTAATGAGTAATGGGCTGTAACGTATTAATATGTAAGCATAAAAAAAAAATTAAGTGTGCAGCATGAATGCATTATTATTTTATTAAATATTATTATTATTATTATGATTATTTGCCTTTTATGTTGTATAATTATTATAACTTTTTTCTCTAAGCTATTTGATCTTTAAAATTAGTCTGTTTCCTAGACTTCTATCAAACATTGAGGACCCGTTCTGTCATAGTCAATGGAAGTATTTCCATAAGGAGCGACCACCCCAACAAACCCTGTAAAAAAACGACCTAACCCAAACTCTCGTGTGCCCTGATCCTATAGCCATAGATAGAGATAGCCTACCCTCTGCCTCTGTTTCATAGCGATCGCTCGGTACGGAATTCCTCCCACGATGTGACAGACTGTGTCCTCTGTATTTGATACCATTGTTTTTCTCCTTCTGATGTATGTCGGGGCTCTCGTCTACTATAGCTTCAGTGTTTGCCTCTCATTAGTCTCATTCAATAGGTTCCGAACTCTAAACCTGACCATGACAGCAACAAAAATTTTTTTTCTCTAAAATTTTCTCCGTTTTATCTCCTTTCACCTCCTTTCCTTGCTTACTAGTCAGTCATCTGTTTTCATTGCCACTTTCTGCCCAGTCCCCCCTTCCCCTCCCCTCTGGGCTTCTGACTCTTTTCTATTGCCACTCCTGGCTCTTTCTTACTGTACTACTCTGTCTTTCTGCCACACACCTGATCATAAGCAGGAAGGATCGAACACCTAGCCTTCTTGGATAAGGATGAACAAATCTCGGGAGGTCCAGTGTGCAAGTCGTGCATGTTAAAGATCCGTTGTTGGTCCTATAATGGATGAGAGTAGGCTTTGGCTGCCGCCCAAGCAGACTTAAAAATGAATTCCAAATCTTAAAATGCTCAATGTGGAAACAACCAGCTTGTGTCCAGTGTGCATATATCATTTGCAAGCACAGTAAAACTCTTTAACTTACAGCAAACAAACATGATGTAGGTGTATTATAAGGGGAGTAGCAATTGTCTGTCTTGGGAAAGAGCTTTATTTCTTCTTATGTAGTTTGTTGTTTTGTTATATAAATGCAATGCTGTCTGAGTGTTACTTGAATCTTTTTCTGGCAAAGTTTTTAATATTTAGAGCGAGAAATGATGGGCATCAATGTTGAGATGGTCAAAGTATTAATGGACGTAGTAGTATTAAGTATATGTCAGATCTCCAAAAGATTTTTTCCCCCAGTCTGAGCATGACCAAGTTTCTGTCACTTTTTTTTCTATGCATTCATCTGGAAAGGAAAAAACCCCATCAGGGTTATGTATAATGTTGGACTAAGGCCAAAGTCATAAACACCAAGCTCAGCATCAGTCCTGCTGTTGATAGATTACAAGTACCGTATGGCTATGATTTGTTCTAATTACCATATTGCAGGTCATTTGATATCCCACTGACAGTATTTTATTGCTGCAACACTTTCTAAATCAATTTTGTCTGATACAACCCCCCCCCCCAACAACCACAAAAACCAACGAATAAAAAAACCCACCAATTTGTTTACCACCATAACGCGACATTTGGCCATTTCCTGCGTCATCTGGGCTACATTACGGACGTTGTATTGCTTCCTATTATATGACTTTTATCAGAACGGAAAAGTCCATCAGCAAAGCATTCATTAAATGTTTTAATTCGCAGTGATGCATTTTCAGCTCGTACTCTTATTCGTCATGACTAACTAAGTGTACTTCTGAACCATGTTCGTTGTTTGATGGTTTTTGACCCTCTCTAGTCAAAAAGCCCTCTACCTGCCTGCATTGTGTTTTTTGCCCCCCTACCTGAACTCTTCTTTACTGCACAGTCACTTTTTTTTTCTTCACCGGGGACAGACACAATTCCCCCCCCCCTCTCTCTCTTTCTCTCTCTCTCTCTCTCTCTCT